TCGAATACTGAATAAAGGTAAGAACGATTGAGATTAGTGTATACGGCGCCAAAGTTTGTCATACAGACTGCAGAAATAATAGTTCCCTTTAAAAGCTTCAGTCATCTATCAGTTACACAGACATGAATCATCTTAGTTACACACGAACAGGATACATTCAATGCTGATAATGCATGGCCTATATCCTCAGTTTGTCGACTTTTCTAATATTACAGAGGAATATATCAGAGAACGTTATTAAGGATAAGACTGTCGTCATAAATTTAACACGTCTCGAAGAAATTTCTCTGTCTAATCTCCTAAGATCAGTCGACGACGTTGTAACTTGTTAACAACTCGTTTCAGATGAATCAACCAAACAGATAGACAATGGGAGCATTCTAGCAATCTCACTTGTACATCACAGTTCTATTGTAGTAGTCCTCCTACTAGTCTGACCATTCATTCAATATGCTTCAATTCGTTTCCCGATATTACTCTGAGATGTCTATCCAGTGATAATCATACAATTTATTCTCAAATACAAGGCCTAAGGAATCTCGAATTCAGTTACGAGAAACTGACTGGAAAACGCGACACAGACATGACAGAGTGAGTATACTGATTATTATTTACCAATAATCGAATCAGTTGTCCAAATTAACTCGAATCCAGATACTTTTACTCTCCAAATTATCTCTGAAAACATTTTCTGATATGAATAGTGGCTGACAGTTCCTTCACCCCTCACCTCTTCCGTGTTTATCAAGTTAGTCACAGTATACGAGTCTGTGAAACAGCTCAAAACACAGTAGGGTTGCTTATAGCACTACCAATTTACAGGGATAAGGATGACAGATATTTCAGGTAATACCAACCACTTCAATTTGCTCTACACTGCAAATTTAGTCTTGCTTTGAATGCTTTAACAGAACTCCTCAAATCATATCACCCTCCCTTACGGAGCATTAGAAACAGATGAGCCAGAAGTAATTCTTGAACATCCAGGCGTCCCAACAGATGATAAGTTTCCCACGGATGACATATATAAGATGGCATAGGAGAGAAGGAACGGAACATTAGTATCACGTCTCCTTCCAGCTGAAAGCGTGACAGTGCCACAAACCGAACCAATGTAGCTTTCATTTCCATGAGAGTCAAGTTCTTCCATCAGTTCACTTTTCGCATATACTAGCTCAGTATTTGAAACACAGGTTAACTGCTTCAACTTCATATATGGAATATCTTCTGATGCAACCCAGAAGCACAATACACAGCTTCTGCTTGCCCAACCTTAAGAAAGAGCCTTGTAAAATAGCCAACAACTATCCCCCACCCCCACCTGAAATATGATATTCCTTGAAAAAATCACTACTTTGCCTTGCCCGCGATACGCTGAGTTTTGTCACTCGTGATTATTACTGGCAGTTCGAAGACTATAATACCTGAACTCGCTGCGTAAAATACCACACACAAATAATACACCTCACTCAAAGGACAAACATCATAGTGGTGATACCTCAGGACCATAGCCACCTCGACTAGCACAGAACCACAGAAATTAAGGAAGTCGAAAAAATGATAACAAAAAGAGCCGTGAGGAAGAAAAAATAGTTATAGAGAAGGAAAAGCTATATTCCATGGATATGACAGACACACAAAGTGAAGCCATCTGCGCCATTCAGAACGATTTTGAGTCATACAAATAATTGTCTCCACTCATCGCTTTGCTTCTTAGCATCCCAAAGACCCCAACCAAGAAGCCTACAACTCTTCCAGACGATATATTCCTCCCTCCTAAGTGAAGATGCTGACAAAATCCAGAGTCTTCTGATGAACACCCTGATCAAAAAGCAACCCCTCGAATGTTTGGCATGCGATTCTCTCCCTCTGTAAAATGTAAGATGATGCTACAGGACTGGAATACATTGACACTCCTAGCTTAAAGACAGGCAGGAGAGAAGTGGTGGAACTTATTTGGGAATTTGCATCAATCAGTGACAGCGAGTTGATTCCTCACGAAATCTCATCACATATACACAAGGCTAGTTCCGCATATGCCAACTCACGCCATCTCTCGCTTAGTAGACGTGATACCGGTTAGCTGGCTGGCTGTCGACAAAACGGCGTGTGTACTGCTCAGCGAAGCACATCGCTCTGTCCTCCTTAATGGCTGGCTGGCTGTCAGCGAGACATGCCCATTGCAAGTGGAAGATACGAAAATCCTGGCTGCCTGTCTGTCATCATAGGTGCCTGCGTTCTATCTATATCCCGTCTTCAGTGCTATAAAAAGGTGAGCAATATTCAGGTTAGGCCTCAGTCGACTGACAGGTAGGTGGGAGGGGAAACCAATCAGTCCATCGAGCTGTCGACGAGGTTGTGAAGCAGCTGCATCGATTCAGATGGTTAGGAGGACATGGGTTACGCATGCATGACTAGTCATTGGTCCCCTTCCTCGACCAACGGGAAATCTTATCTTAGCTGACTGACTGACTGACATAGGATGCATCAGGTTGGGAAAGAGTCAGCTAGTCCTGGGTGGTCAAACCAAAACCAACATGGCTCCACCAGTCAATGGAATCCACAACACCTAGTTTAAGCCAGCCAGCCAGGCACGTAGGGAGATGTAGACTGGCCTCCCAGTTGGTGTCCTCGAGATGATGAAAGTATTCGAAGGCTATGGACGATCGGTGATATGGCTCAAAATCCTCATTCTCAATGACTGGCTCAGATGCATCCACTCCTTGTGATCCATAATGTCCAATAAAATTCTATTCTTCTCCCATATTACCATTCTTTTTATCCAACATTTCTGTTTATTATCTCTCTCTGTCTCTTTGCTGTCTTCTCTTGCTTTGTGTGCTAAATGGAGGGAGTGCGGCAACTCGAACTGCTGCACATCTGTGCAAAGTTCTACGTTGAAACCAGTCAATCAGAGACCTCCTCAAGCGGCTCAAACTGATTGTTAAAGATTTCATGAACTAACTCCATGTCTCAGTGTGACTACCACTAGCTCTTTTCCAACCTAATTCTAGGTCAGCTAACATTACCCGTCGACGAAGGCGATGACTGGCCAGACAGGCATAACACATGTCCTAGCAGTCTCATTAGATTTCGCTTCACAACCTCATCGATTCACTTCCCCTCCTCACCTAACACTCAACGCCTGACCACAAGATTCCTCGACACACGATATAAGTAAACACTGACACCAATGATCTAACACAGTATACCACTTGCATATCTCACACCTTCGACGACCACATCTCACAACCACAAACGGGGTCGGAGAGAATTCTCTGGTCCATAGTCTGACGGATTTCGCGTCTTCGCCACAGGTGGTGCAGGTTCGCAAACAACACACGAGCCTCAAGCATACGAGTTGAGATCTAGTCAGCATCCCAAACGTCGGGACTGACGCAACTTCACAAATAAGTGAAGTGACCAACACTCTCTACCATTTCACTCCCTTTCTCCATCTCTAGGCTTGTGGCTGGTGTAGTCCAGTCCTGCAGCGTCACCCCACATTTCACAGGAGCGAATCGCATGCCAAACATTCGAAGATTGCAGCTCAAGGGGATCAGAAGATTCTGCATTTGTCAGCATCTTCATCCACGAGGACGATTACATTCACACATTCTATCCTACACCAACAAGATTATTCTCCGGTAACAAGTCAATCACTAAGTCACTGAAATCAGTCAGTGTCAATCACATTGCCACATCTATGGTGAAATTTAACAGAAGTGGTTGTCATCACCTCAGATGACAGCTCTCTCGAGCAGAGTACCCTGATTACTGAGACGTACACTCTCGACACTCCCCTCACTGACAAACATTGTCATAGTACCCCTTTCGCTTGAGGGAGTCGAATGCCCACTTCACGTAAAAGAACATGGCAATTCCTGTACCCCAGAAAGCATGCCCATATTCCACAACATGTCGAAGGGTCCAGGCCTAAAGTCTGTATCGTCTTCTTCTGGTTGTTTAGCCTAAGATTCACTTAATCTGTGCATCATATATGCCATTAGTCAAGCTAATACCCTTCCCACCATAACTCCACTCAACACTCCAAATCCACATCGGTAAGACTCATTCCAACCAACTGAATTACCAAGTCTCAAGTTCATTACACCACCTTCACATTGCGAAGTCACCATCCTCTTTCAATCACTCATGCACGCACACAGTCAAGTCAATCAAGTCACTTCTTAAAAATATCCGTCCCAAAAGCCTACCGACACATCGACAATACCACCAAAGTAACAAATTAACCGACAACTCAATCCACCTACAGTCATGTATTTAAAACCACAACCACAGTCAAGCCTGTCTCACACATACAATTGATCGCAGACGCCTAACCACCCACCCCTAGCATCACAATTCACCATCCTCCACACAAACATCTCAGTTAAGTTATATCAAACAGGCACAAAACAATCAAACCAAACCACACCTCACAGTTAAGACAAATAACTAACCGCCAACTATATGCTTAACAAACACATCAACAACTCCCTAAACACAACTCAACGCCTACCACAATAACGCACTTCGTAAAACTATGCATCTCACAAGGATACTTCCATTACATAACGAAAAGTCATGTCCAATGAATCACAAACTCGAAGAAACAACAACTGCACACCCAACCCTAAACACCCTTAACCTCTCCTATCAAAAACTCCACGTATTCAAGGCTACGACCACAGCTCACTCCCGCCACCCCTAACACAACCGCTCGTACACACCCCCAGTTTCTCGCATCCGATATCTCAACCTCACAAGTCAACACCTAGTGACAAATTATACGAAAGACAAGAACTAAACAATAACGCAGTCCTAAAATCACACACTCTTCACGACACCTAACACCAACAACTAACACAACGAACGCTTCCTACACAACGACATCGAACAACAAATCAAAAGTCACAAACAACTCCAAATGCAATCCAAATTTATTTCAATATACCATCATTATCAAAGTTTATACACAAAATCACCTGCCTCTTCTCTTAGTCAACCTCCTCGATTGTTGGTCCTTTTCCGCCACCGCTGCTAGCACCACCTGCACCTGGAAAACCTTCAGGCATTCCACCCGGCATACCGCCACCACCTGCTGCCTGATACATCTTCGTGATTATCGGTGCACAAACACCCTCCAACTCCTTCTGGTGGTACTCATACTCATCCTTCTCTGCTTGCTGATTCGCGTCTAGCCATTGAATCGTCTCTTCACACTTGCTCAATACCTTCTTACGGTCATCCTCAGGTATCTTGTCCTTCAACTCATCACCCTCCACTCGCTGCTTCATCGCGTACACATAACTCTCAAGTGAGTTCTTCGCAGACACACGCTCTCTCTGCTTCTCATCCTCAGCCTTGAACTTCTCTGCTTCATTCACCATACGCTCAATATCGTCCTTCGACAAACGACCCTTGTCATTCGTGATAGTTATCTTGTTCTGCTTACCAGTACTCTTGTCCGTAGCTGACACATTCAGAATACCATTAGCATCGATGTCGAATGTCACCTCAATCTGAGGAACACCACGAGGAGCAGGAGGAATACCAGACAACTCGAATTTACCAAGCAAATTGTTGTCCTTCGTCAAAGCACGTTCTCCCTCGTACACTTGAATAAGCACACCTGGCTGGTTGTCCGAGTACGTCGTGAACGTCTGAGTCTGCTTCGTCGGGATAGTCGTGTTACGCTTAATCAGTGCTGTCATTACACCACCAGCCGTCTCAAGACCCAGTGACAATGGCGCCACATCCAGCAACAACAAGTCTTGCACTGCCTCAGACTTATCACCACTCAGAATAGCCGCCTGCACAGCTGCACCATAAGCAACAGCCTCATCAGGATTAATAGACTTGTTCAACTCCTTACCGTTGAAAAAGTCCTGAAGCATCTTCTGGATCTTGGGGATACGTGTTGAACCACCAACCAACACAATCTCATGGATCTGAGCCTTGTCCAACTTTGAGTCTCTCAAAGCCTTCTCAACCGGCTCCAAAGTACCACGGAACAAATCAGCATTCAACTCCTCAAATCGAGCACGAGTGATCACTGTGTAGAAGTCAATACCATCACACAACGAATCAATCTCCAAGTTCGCCTGTGTACTTGAACTCAGTGTACGCTTAGCACGTTCACAAGCTGTTCTCAAACGACGAATGGCACGCTTATTGTCACTTATATCCTTCTTGTGCTTACGCTTGAACTATTGCACAAAGTGATTCACCAAACGGTTGTCAAAGTCTTCACCTCCCAAGTGAGTGTCACCAGCAGTAGACTTCACCTCGAAGATACCATCCTCAATTGTCAGAATAGACACATCGAAAGTACCACCACCCAAATCGAATATCAACACATTACGCTCACCACCAACCTTCTTGTCCAGACCATACGCGATAGCAGCAGCCGTCGGCTCGTTGATGATTCTCAACACATTCAGACCAGCGATCGCACCCGCATCCTTAGTAGCTTGACGTTGACCGTCGTTGAAGTAGGCAGGAACTGTCACCACTGCATCATTCACCGTCCGACCCAAATACGCTTCAGCCACCTCCTTCATCTTCGTCAATACCATCGATGAGATCTCCTCAGGGAAGAATGTCTTCGTCTCACCCTTGTATTCAACACGGATCTTCGGCTTACCACCCTCATTAATAACACCAAAGGGCCAGTGCTTCATATCACTCTGAACTGAAGAGTCATCAAATCGTCGACCAATCAGTCGCTTCGCGTCGAACACTGTGTTCGTTGGGTTGATCGCCACCTGGTTCTTAGCAGCATCACCAATCAAACGTTCAGTGTCTGTGAACGCAACATAACTCGGCGTCGTTCGGTTCCCTTGGTCGTTGGCAATGATCTCCACTTTCCCATGCTGGAAAACACCAACACATGAATACGTGGTACCAAGATCGATTCCAATTGCGTTCGGCATGATCAAATACAAATCAAATCAAGAGGCAGGCACTTCTAACTAACCGTAGAAAACAATTACTCGCATGTTTATAGGTCATACGCCATGGAACATTCTAGAATTTCCAGTGACCTTCACCTCATGTTGGAACAACCAATGGGAATGCTCACAATCGCATTCCAAACTGACCAATCACATCGGGCTGTGGCGTTTTCAATGTTCTAAAAGGACTGTGAACAACAAATAGCAAATTAAAAGTCTCAACCGTGGGAGATACTACAACCCAGAATAATCCACACATTCCACAATGTCAGTGCATTGACTCCCGTCCTCACTGACACTGAGCCTATTCACAAACATCACACCATCTCCATTCTACCCAGAGCCATTATCATTTGTGGTTTCACAAGATGGCTTCAGACACACAATCGGAAGTTTTCCTTTGCCTACTGACAAACAACGAGTAGTAAGAGAGCCTGAGTTAAATATTCAAGCAATAAGGAACGGATTAGGCACCTAAACACTAGGTCATATACCACTCAGAAAAATCCATACCTGTAGGAATGCCAGTGTGTTGATTTGATTCACAAACACACTACCACTCACCGTATTCACAAATGTCGTGACGTCTTCATGCAACCCTCAGTCACTGAGGCTTTTCAAAACTTAGCATTCACACAAGAAGCTCTACTTGCTCTACTCTACACAAGAGACTAAATCTCATAAGACAGTTGCACAATCACAGAAGCATCCAGTTTTCTTGATATCAATTAGTGAGTGAGGGACTTATCATAGTCTTCACCTGTTTCTAGGCAACAAATTGATTATGAGTCACAATCTTAGTTTCACCTGTGTTGTCTATCGATCCTCTATGCAGAAATATACTCACTGTCATGCCTCGATTGATGATAATCAATTACGAATTCACCAACACTCAAGTAGCAATTTATATGAGTTCTGACAACGAGAAGTCAGATACTTATTCTCTATCAGTGATACAACTCGATACATTCGTGTTATATCCAAAAGTGTATGACGAGAAATTAGTGAATTATTTTTAAGTCTCAGTCATTAGGTTGCAGCTATTTTAAGCTATTCACATAACCTGAGGAGGCCATGGACTGGGTTGAATTGTCAACCAAGTGAATGGGACTCTAAAAGCTTACTGTGTGGAGAGGTTGGAAAGTTGGTCAGAGCACTTTGACGAACAGTCCAACCGCTCCACAAAAATCAACTCAGTTACCTGGTGCCGTAATGACGACAATATCCAAACTGATACCTTACAACTGCACCATCCACACCAAGCTAACATGAACGGAGACATCGCTCCTCCAGCTGTATTTCGGCCTGACAACATCCTACTAACTGAGAAGCTCTACTTGGATTCGTTTACTTGTCTTTGTCTGAAGTGATGACCAAAAGTGGTAGGTACTAGTCAGGGATTCCCACTGTCACCATTATTATCCAATTCAATTCTAGATTTAGCCGAGAATAGGGTCCTGAAGCAACCAACTGTTTCAAAGATAGACACATTACCAGAGAAAAGTATCGTTTATCTAGGGTATACTGATTGACAACACTGTTCTTTTCGCTAAATATGCTGATAAACCACACACACACACACAGTCCTCCTGTGATAAATCTTAGTACACTAGTCATGCCATCAAATAATCAGTTTCATGGGTTGAACATTCATTACAGGTGACAAACACTACACATCTTAAAGAATAAGCTAAACTGAATGCACTCTATCAAAACAATAGTAAAAATCACTTCATCCAATCGAGACGGTGCTAAATTCTGTTATACAAACTAGTGAGATACAGATCCCTTTTTGGCGATTGAATGGTATGGTGATCCCGATATGTCTGGAATCGGTCGAAATCCTGTTTTTAAACACCGGCTGGTTTAGACACAGACCTTTGACAGAGATGTGCAGCAGTTCGATTCGCCTCACTCTATATAGCCAATAAAAGGCAAAACAGATGGGGAAAAGACATTCAAAAGAATCACAATAAGCAGAAATGCACGAAGAAACACCAATAACACAGAAAAAGAATACGGCTTAACGGATATAGGAGGTCACAGAGAGTGAAGCCATCTCCGCCATTCAGAACGATTTTGAGTCATTCAAATAATTGTCTCCAATCATCGCTTGGGTTCTTATCATCTCAAAGACCCCAACCAAGAAGCCTACAACTCTTACAGACGATATATTCCTCCCTCCTAAGTGAAGACGCTGACAAAATCCAGAGTCTTCTGAACACCCTGATCAAAAAGCAACCCCTCGAATGTTTGGAATGCGATTCTCTCCCTCTGTAAAATGTAGGATGGTGCTACAGGACTGGAATACATTGACACTTCTAGCTTAAAGACAGGCAGGAGAGAAGTGGTGGAACTTATTTGGGAATTTGCATCAATCAGTGACAGCGAGTTGATTCCTCACGAAATCTCATCACGGATACTGAAGGCTAGTTCCGCATATGCCAACTCACGCCATCTCTCGCTTAGTAGACGTGATACCGGTTAGCTGGCTGGCTGTCGACAAAACGGCGTGTGTACTGCTCAGCGAAGCACATCGCTCTGTCCTCCTTAATGGCTGGCTGGCTGTCAGCGAGACATGCCCACTGCAAGTGGAAGATACGAAACACCTGGCTAGCTGTCTTTCATCAAAGGTGCCTGCGTTCTATCTATATCCCGTCTTCAGTGCTATAAAAAGGTGAGCAATATTCAGGTTAGGCCTCAGTCGACTGATAGGTAGGTGGGAGGGGAAACCAATCAGTCCATCGAGCAGTCGACGAGGTTGTGAAGCAGCTGCATCGATTCAGATGGTTAGGAGGACATGGGTTACGCATGCACACCTAGTCATTGGTCCCCTTCCTCGACCAACTGGAGATCTTAGCTGACTGACTGACATAGGATGGATCAGGTTAGAAAAGAGTCAGCTAGTCCTGGGTGGTCAAACCAAAACCAATATGGCTCCATCAGTCAATGGAATCCACAACACCTAGTTTAAGCCAGTCAGCCAGCCACGTAGGGAGATGTAGACTGGCCTCCCAGTTGGTGTCCTCGAGATGATGAAAGTCATTGAAGGCTATGGCTCAAAATCCTCATTCTCAATGACTGGCTCAGATGCATCCACTCCTTGTGCTCCATAATGTCCAATAAAATTCTATTCTTCTCCCATATTACCATTCTTTTTGTTCAACATTTCTGTTTATTATCTCTCTCTGTCTCTTTGCTATCTTCTCTTGCTTGTGTGCTACATGGAGGGAGTGTGGCAACTCGAACTGCTGCACATCTCTGCAAAGTTCTACGTTGAAACCAGTCAATCAGAAACCTCCTCAAGCGGCTCAAACTGATTGTTAAAGATCTCATGAACTAACTCCATGTCTCAGTCTGACCACCACTAGCTCTTTTCCAACCTAATTCTAGGTCAGCTGACATTACCCGTCGACGAAGGTGATGACATGCATAACACATGTCCTAGCAGTCTCATTAGATTTCGCTTCACAACCTCATCGATTCACTTCCCCTCCTCACCTAACACTCAACGCCTGACCTCAAGATTGCTCGACACATGATATAACTTAACACGGACACCAATGATCTAACACAGCAAACCTCTTGCACATCTCCCACCTTCGACGACCACATCTCACAACCACAAACGGGGTCGGAGAGAATTCTTTGATCCATAGTCTGACGAATTTCGCGTCTACGCCACAGATGGCGTAAGTTCGCGAATAACACACGAGCCTCAAGCATACGAGTTGAGATCTAGCCAGCATCTCAAACGTCAGGGCTGACGCAACTTCACAAATAAGTTAAGTGACCAACACTCTCTACCATTTCACTCCCTTTCTCCATCTCTAGGCTTGTGGCTGGTGTAGTCCAGTCCTGCAGCGTCACCCCACATTTCACAGGAACGAATCGCATGCCAAACATTCGAAGATTGCAGCTCAAGGGGATCACAAGACTCTGCATTTGTCAGCATCTTCATCCACGAGGACGATTACATTCACACATTCTATACTACACCAACTAGATTATTCTCCGGTAACAAGTCAATCACTAAGTCACTGAAATCAGTCAGTGTCAATCCTATTCGCACGTCTATGATGACATTTAACAGAAGTGGGGACATCAATGGTTGTCATCACCTCAGGTGACAGCTCTCTCCAACACAGTACCCTGACTACTGAGACGTACAATCTCGACACTCCCCTCACTGACAAACATTGTCATAGTAACTTTAGGTCGACGCAGCCGAATACCCACTTCACGTAATAGAACATGGCAATTCCTGTACCCCAGAAAGCATGCCCATATTCCACAACATGTCGAAGGGTCCGGGCCTAAAGTCTGTATCGTCTTCTTGTGGTTGTTTAGCCTAAGATTCACTTAACCTCTGCATCATATATGCCATTAGTCAAGCTAATATCCTTCCAACCATAACTCCACTCAACATTCCTATTCCATATCGGTAACATTCATTCCAACCAACTGAATTACCAAGTCTCAAGTTCATTACACCACCTTCACATTGCGAAGTCACCATCCTCCTTCAATCACTCATGCACGCACACAGTCAAGTCAATCAAGTCACTTCTTAAAAATATCCGTCCCGAAAGCCTACCGACACATCGACAATACCATCACAGTAACAAATTAACCGACAACTCAATCCACCTACAGTCATGTATTTCAAACCACAACCACAGTCAAGCCTGTCTCACACTTACAAATGCTCGCATACGCCTAACCACCCACCCCTAGCATCACAATTCACCATCCTCCACACGAACATCTCAGTTAAGTTATATCAAACAGGCACAGAACAAAACAAACCAAACCAAACCACACCTCACAGTTAAGACAAATAACTAACCGCCAACTATATGCTTAACAAACACATCAACAACTCCATAAACACAACTCAACGCCCACCACAATAACGCACTCAAGTCACTTCGTAAAACTATCCGTCTCACAAGGATACTTCCACTACATAACGAAAA